ACTAGTAATCAATAATCAATCAAGCGAACGAAAAAGAATAGAAAAACTATTGGAAGAAAAAACAGAGGAGTTAGATAATAAAAAGAGAGAGCGATCCAACAATGGCGGAGGGAATAGTGAAGCTTTTAGGGTTTTGGGGAAGCCCTTTCAGTCGTCGTGTCGAGATGGCTCTCAAACTCAAAGGCGTGCCTTACGAGTACTTGGAGGAAGATTTGCCAAACAAGACTCCTTTGCTTCTTGAGCTAAACCCGATTCACAAGAAGGTTCCGGTTCTTGTCCACAATGGTAACATACTACCCGAATCACATCTGATCCTCGAATACATCGATCAAACGTGGAGTAACAATCCAATTCTTCCTCAAGATCCCTATGAGAAAGCCATGGCTCGATTCTGGGCCAAGTTCGTCGATGATCAGGTATATCTAACAATATAAGTTAAATTTATAATATTGATTTGCAATTAGGATTCTTTTTCTTATATTTATTGATCTAAATTTGCAGATCCTAACACTAGGATTTAGGTCTCTGGTAAAAGCAGAGAAGGGAAGAGAGGTTGCTATCGAAGAGACTCGAGAACAGATTATGTTTCTTGAGAAGGAAGTCACCGGGAAAGATTTCTTCGGCGGCAAGACGATCGGATTCTTGGACATGGTCGTAGCAAGTATGATCCCGTTTTGTCTGGCTCGGCTTTGGGAAGGTATGGGAATTGATATGATTCCAAGAGAGAAATTTCCAGAGCTAAACAGATGGATCAAGAATTTGAAGGAAGTTGAGGCCGTGAGGGAATGTATTCCTCCAAGAGATAAACAAATCGAGCGCATGACCAATATTGCAGAGAAAATCAAGTCCGCCTAAATAAAAAGATAAATTCGTTTTTCTTGGTCCGGAAATATTTTACTAAATCGTTGTATCGTTTCTATTCTCAAAATTCAAATAAAGAAATAGGTTGCAGAATCTTTTGTATAAAAAATGATATCTTAAAAGCTTTATTAATATTGGACAATATATTCATATCCGAAGTTGTTGATTTATAG